CGAGAATTTATTTTCAAGATTAGATCAACGTTTTGAAAGTGCTTTTTTTTTAGTAGTAAAGCGTGTTCTCTATGATAATAGTGCGTGAAATAGTTCTTTGCCAGAATGTATTGTCTTGACAATTCGATATAGGGATAATTTAATAAAGTTAGAGCATCGTATATTTATTAAATGTTACTTAAATTTTCATTATTGATCTTTTTCATTCTACAGTCACGAATTGGAAACACAATTAATTTAAATGTTGGAAATGAATTGAATTAAGAGTTTGAAGATAAACAAATATTTCTTAATAATATAATTTTTCTACAACAATGTAATTTACAAAAAAGTACATTTGTCTCTAAATGTCATTATAATATATGGAAAAATTGCATGAGATATATAAATCTTAATATTTGTGTAGATTTATTTTTCAACAGCTTTACAATCCTCTTTGCAATTATTAGCAGCAGTACGCGACAACGAATATATTGGATGTGCAATTGAAATTCTAAATATTTCGCAAGTTATAAATATTGATGAGAGATATAATTTCATTGTATACGAGCTTCGCGTATCATTCGTTTTTATTCCATGCTTTTTCTTTCTTAATTGCCATTTTATTTTATCCTTGGCGGAATGGGAAGCACTAATTGCTTGTGTGTCGTTACTTGGCGTTTCGTTAGGTATGATTTACGATCGCGATTCATATTTTACGGAGAGAGCATGTATAACCGATGATACGTCTTAATTTCTCGTCGACGGTTAGAATAGATCTGGCAGAAAGCCATTTGTCCAGCTTATATAAAGTGGCCGGATGGTCGTTGTTGCCTCAAATAATTCGCAATAAAACGCTTTTCTTGACGGAAGTTAATTCCTTCGAACTAAATATTGGCAAATGGGATGTTGGAAGAACGTTTAAAAGTTTTCTGAGTTGATTTTATCTCGTACGGTTTTCACGACGTGGCACGAGAGAATTCTTATATTTCTCTGACATTAATCCAAATACAGTAATTTCGAATGTAAGCTTCATATGAAGGTAAACTTACCTATCTCTCTGCTTTCACGTCCTAGCCTTCACAGTTCGCAGCACTCCCTCGTTAACTCTTAGCCATCAACTGTCAGTTCTACAATGTAATTTCCGAACTTTAAAGATTAAAACCTTATATAAATTTTCGTTTTGCAAACTTTGAAGTCGTTTAAGTATTAATTTATGTAACTTACAGTTTATAATTATTATATGGATTGTGGTGAGGTAATTATACAAAATATGAATTTTGATCGCAAAATTATCGTTCTTAGGTACTTTCTGGCTAATAATAAACTTTCTTTATATTTATGTCACGGTGACGCTGCATTAATCGCGTGTATCCTCTCGTTTGTTTTTATTACAAGCTGCTATCATGTATGGAGTCGCGTGTCTCGAACCTCTCGTTGCAGTAACGAGCGCAAATCGGTGTCATAAATCTGCAAAAACGAGGCATTAAGAATTGAACCGCCCCGCCCGATCTCTGTAAATCTCCTGTCGTCGATAGTCATCTTAATATCTGACATTTTCAGTAAATTCGCCAAGCATCGACTTTTCATACTTTTACGAATTGATCATGTTTTCTTTAATATCTCAGTTTAAACAGTTTTCTATGCAGATTTAATATTGAAAATTTAAATATTATGAAAATCTAGTTGATGCGTCATCGGTTTACTTTTCTTATTCTTCTTTTACGAGCTTGAAATTTTGCAGCGTTTTTGCGAAGTATTTGTAAATCATCGCCAGACTATTCGATTTGTCGGAGTTATTTGCAAATACCATGAGAACGCAAGCTTGAAATGTGATAATTTCAATATCTATTAGCGTTATATGGCATGTGTTAAGCATTTAGGTATTTTCGGCTTATACTGTATTATGACAATTATAATTTTGTTTGTGTGAAACGGCTTGTACAGTTGGGATTAAATCACGTTGCAGAGAAGATGGGGAGGAGCAAGGGGAGGAGCGAAAGGAGAGAGAGAGAGAGAGGGGGGGAAGAAGAGATTAATTAATTTGAGCTTTCCGACCCGTGCTTTTTCATGATACCCTATGTACTTTTCGAAAAAGAACCTTCAAATATTCAAGCTGGGATATTTTATGCACGATGTGCCAAATATATTTCTGCCAATCGTGCCACGCGTCCATTAATCTGTTCTGCGACTATAAATGGTGTAAATTCGCTCTCTGTGGCTCCAGAACTTTCCACTGACAGAAACTCACTGCAAGCTGATTAACTCTATGCTCTACTGGAAGTCTATACATTTCTCTCCCTCCCTCCCTCCCTCCCTTCTCCCTTCTCTCTCTCTTTCTCTCTCTCTCTCTCTCGTATGTTATACGTATATTGTATCAACCGTAGCTACATCGTACTTACCCTGCGTTATACCGTGTTTCGCACTTAGTGCGTTACCGGTTCGTGCTTTTAGTGCCCACTGAGGGATATGCCTTGTCATCGATTTCTATTAATTTCTAACGTGTGTTCCATTGTTACCGTAAGAAGATTTAAGTATACGAAGAACGTTTGAAGTCAGACCGAGAGAGGTGCAACAATACATCTTCTTTGAACAGAAGATCGTATGTATAAACTTTTTAAATAATATAATAGAAATGGGCATAACAGTTCGACATTTAAAAATGTCGTTTTATCTAAAATTTGTTTTTGTTGATTTTGATTTTGATTTTGAGTGAACTCATTATGAAAATGGCAGGTTAACAAGAAATAAAATTATATAGACGTCGTTTATGCAGGATCAGTTTTGCCAATCTGCAATCGCAATTTCTTGTTAATCTCTTTTCTCTTCTGACGAGTCTCGTAAAAATTGATCAAACTTCTTGATGCTGCTAGCGATAGCCGAAAGCAGATGATGACGAGATTTTGATGATAAGAGATTTAAAAATGATGTAATCTGCTTAACTAACTTAATTAACTAAAGTTGTATCTGTTTAATCTGTATTGAAATGATTGATTGATTTTTAAATGATTGATACCTACTAATTGTCTATTTGCCTATTACTTGCTTTACAGAATATTTCTGCACAGAAATTATCTAAAATATGATGTGCTGAAATCTCTAAGCAAGAGTTGAGCAAACTCATAATTTATAAGTTCCTCTTTATATATAAAATAGATTTGCGTAAATTGAGAAGGATATTATATTTTGCTTTGCGTTTCATATGACTTTACGAGTAAATATATTGAGTTTTTGTTTAATTATTTATTGTGTGTCAGATAAAAAATATTTTATATAAAGTGCATACATTATATTTTTTAAATTAATTTATTAAATTTATTAAACGTTTATAGTGAGACTTCTATGGAATAAATCGTTATTCTTAGACATCGTTTTTCGAAATGTTAGTTAAACAACGACCATCCTGCTTATTACCGATGTACTTCTCTGTCGATCTTTGTCACTAGACTCGTTGGTTCCATAACATTTATATAGAGATAAATAACGTTTTTTTAGATATACAAGTAATAATTCAGATCCAGTGATGGCACGTCTCTATTTCGGTAGTTTTATCGGACGAAGCAATCGATGATGCACTTTTCTTAGCACAAGAATCAGTTTGGCGATCTATCTAAATTGTAAAGCAGTACACTGAAAGAAATACTTTTTTAATTATTAATATATCATGAGTTTAGACTTGATATCTTTGTCAGAAATATACAAATGTCAATGTAAATTCGTAATATTTAATAATAATATACGTAACTGTATAGTAAAAATACCATCAATTTATATGAAATTGTATGTATATTAAATGTAATGTCTTTGTAATTAACAAATTTATATTAATTATTAATATAAGTATAATCAATAATCTCAAATAAATTATTTCATTTGTCGAAATAGATAAAATATTTTACGCAAACATACATTTATTTATGACAAAGAAAGTCAATGTTATATTATTACTAATAATCTTTATTATTAATAAAGCACGGACTGCGGTATGCAGTAATATTATTTTTATACTGATAAATGTAGTTATATTCAATGATACGCAATATAGCATATATTAATTATGAAGAAATATTTATTAGGGACGGATATAAAAAATTCTTACATTAACGACAAAGCATGTATATTAACTATTAATATACTGTTCTCTCAGTGTACCTTCCGTCTACGTTCAAAGATCTTTCTCCATTTGTGCTGATTTCGGCACGTTGGTCTCCGACCATTTCTCCTATTATTTCTCGTTGCCTTTACGCTCCGAGCGAACTCCCCTGCGTATCCTACACCCCTTTACCTTCACTTTTCGTCCTCAGTCCTTGTTTTCTGAATAGGGAGATAGAGAGGACTTAATGGGCAACACATAGACCCGGAAGGACAAGATATATGCGCTTTCCCATGGAAGTTAAAGGCTCATGAACACTGAGACGGGGATAAAACTGCCTGTTCCGATTCTCCCTCGTCAACGATCTTCTTGTCCCTCTTTTTTTAATTCAGAACGTACACGATCCTCGCTGCCTTTGTCACCGCAGAGACCACGTTGTGGAGACCCGCCAATGATTTACCTTTATGAATATTTAACAATAGAAGATTATATTGTTGTAATTCACCCACGTGTGTTTTTTTTTAATATTATTATTCATTAGACTTCAGTTTAACAAATACAGATCTCAACGAATAATTTATTTATTCAGAAAACGAACTTGATCAAAATTTTAAATAATTTAATTGGTGTAATTGTTTAATAATTATATGATAATTATGAAAATTATGCTATTATATAATTGACAGTTAGAATAAAGATATTTAGATATAATTCTCCTATTGTAAATATTGCTATATTGAACAATAAGAAAGTTGTGCGCTTTTTCAAGTATATCATTAATTTTATTTTGTCAGTTGTTATGTTGAAGAAATGAGGGGATTTTACGGATCATATATTCTTTATTCCCATTTATCATAATTCCTTCGGCTTGAAAGTTGAGAGTTTTTTTCATGGAAACGAGAGATTTTTTTTATGGATTTTGTATAGAATGTCTTATCTGGAATACTGTTTGTCTCAAGGCAGGCAGCAACGTGATCCAATCAGTATAAGGTGCGTTGCTCGTTACGAACATGCTTATTCGAATAACGAGGAAACGCGAAGACACCCTATTTACCAAAGAAATAAAACGAATAAGAGAAAAGGAATGTTCGTGGAAAAACGAAGAACGAAGAAAATGTGAGAAGTTACGCGTATTGTAATCTTGTTAGATACTGTGCAATTTAGAGCAAGATCGAGCAATATATAATATTGAACTTGAATTAGTATTATCCTTGACAGAGTCAAGCTCTCTAAAAAGAAAAAAAAAAGATGAAAAGTTCGAGTCATTTCTAAAAAGTTTCCAATTTCTCGAACCCTCTCAGCTCTTAAGCTATTTTGCATATTTTCGTTTTTTCATGGATCATTTTTCATGGAAGGTGAAAAATGATTCTCGGCTTCGTTACCTATGTCCTCCACAATATGTATGATCAGATTTTTCGAAGCTGGCGTGTTCTGTGTCGAGGTGACACTTAGAAATGGCATAAAACTTTTATATTTGATATAAAATTATCTTTCTCTCTCTCTCTCTCTCTCTCTATATATATATATATATATATATAATATATCTCTCTCTATATATATATATAATATATAATATATATATAAAATTTAATTACTTAATATAATTTTGTATTAAATATAACATAATATCAAAAGTGACCTTTAGAAATAATGTAAAATTTATTTTTATTTATATAATAAATATATATTTTATATTAAATACGTTACATAAATTTTACATTATTTCTAAAGGTCACTTTTGATATTATGTTATATTTAATACAAAATTGTATTAAGTAATTAATATAATAGAAAATTATTTAATATAAATTTACGTTATATTGATAACATTTAAAATAAAATTGGAAAATAGCAAAAATTTCGTGTTTGCAAAGCGAGTGACTTATAGAAGATCTTGAGATACGCGTGAGGTAGCACGCGTCGATAAATCTAATAGGAATTTTTGCTGCGCTGTCGTGCCACGGTGAACAGGTTTTTATGCATTTTGCATGATGCATTTCGCGCTCCGTTTTGGTTTTATAGGGGAAAAAATCCTCTTTTTTTATCGTCTATCTCACCTCGCACATGTGGGATGCACTTTATCGCGTTACAATGCGTGTAAAGCGTTATAGCATGATGCGTTTCAAAGAACGTTTCTTAAATACACATGGGCTCATACGCATGGACAAGCACGTTGCTTTTCCCAATTTTTCCGCAAGTCGCTACTAAGTCTTTCTTTTCAACATTTCCGTATCGGGACACACGGATGGCGCACAATGGCGTCTGATTGATCGTTCGATACTTACCAATACGCGCGTGTGGATTTTCGTCGCGGATCCGTATCGCGTTTCAGACGAGAAGCGCATTTCGTACATTATTTGCCGAGGGACGTGCAATTTGCGATAATGTCGAACGTATACGTACCCTCCGAAGGGGTCGGGAGTCGCGATTAGCGTTCGCTCCCGTTGCGACCGGTACGTTGTAATCCGGCACAATTCTCCGCGACCTTTGAAAGAGCGGAAAGCGATAGAGAAAGCGGAAATCATGGCTGTCGTTTTCTCTTCGAAACGGGAAATAGCAATACTGATGTAAGGGACGATTGCGATTCTGTTTATTTCTCGCGCGATTCACTGTTTGTCAATTAAATTTTCCCTTTAACAGTTTTGTCGCTTATATTCGAGTCAGAAGAGTACATCATTGATAAAAGCATCTTTCTGTTGAGCTTATGCAAGCATCACTTAAGAAAATATACATTAAGTATTTTTAAGGAACAATATATATATACAAACTTAGTTACCGCGAGTTAACCGCGAATGCAAGAAAACTAGTCCAGGGCCAGGGGATTGATCATGTATCTTTTCCCCTAAAGCGGAAACGTGAAAAGTGAAAAGTTTCACCATTCAAGTTAATGGCGAAAATTTTCACTTTTCACATTATTTCTGCCCTATTAGGGAAAAGTTACATGATCACTATCCAGTACATGTTAATGCTACAAGTTACTTACGCACTTCACCTCGTAATGCAATTCAACTGATTAGTTCGCAAGTCTTAAAGTTATACGAAATTATCACGCACGTTATTTTATTTATGTTTCAGCTGACATATTCGATCAGGTAGACGAACAAATAAAAAAACACGCTGGTCTTCAAGCGAATTGCGTGGGCGGTGGAAGAATTGAGCACGATCCCGACGAGAAAACCATCAAAGTTTATGGATATTCGCAAGTAAGTTCCGGAATTTATTGAGATATTTATTATTCAATCAATTTTTCCTGATTTGACTGTCGTAAAAATATTTTATTTTTCACACGTGTTCCTCTTACACCAGATGCTAATAAAAATAACGGGTTTCTCCTATAATACAGCTAGTGTTCAATCTATTTCATTCTGTCCATTCATGACAAAATAACAGTTTGTTTAGTTTCCCGATAGTAATCCTGTATATTTCTATATTTTCCAATTAACTTTTTATACTATTATTCATTGCCAGATGTTGCGCGCTGCATGAATATTCCATTTATTGTCCGACGTCCTTGTTAGTCGCAATTACATTTGCATCTATCGAAGTAAAATTGACAATTAGTCGACATGTGAATGTCCAAAGTGTGCCGTGATATTACCGTGTGACCATCAGGCAATGCTTTAAACACGGGCGGAGAAATACGCGTCGCAATACCTATGATTAACGGCGCATGAACATTTTCACCCCTGCACTCTGTTGCTCGTCACGAGCTTCACGCCCACGCGGCATCATATGTCGAACTTTAGCAGATTAAATTTGTCGGTCCGAGAGAATTCGTGCCTTTCTCACGCAAACACAATCGAATAGAAAGTTAGGCGTGTTTTATCAGCTACTAGAATTGTATGTGTAAAACAAGAGTTTCTTTCAGCGGAGTAGTCTTTACTCCGTATCTCTCATTATTACGTTACTACAAATGTGCAAATAACATGATAGTTGAAAAGAATTCAAATGAGCCGTTGACGTCCATACCGTTCTTTAAATTTCACTCAGGACATTCCCACACACAAAAAGGTGTTTTGCTTTTTTATTTCCATAATCAGTAAATCGGCAATAAATTAGGTATTTTGCATTCAATAATAAAAGGTATAAAAATTTCGCTATCTCGTGCCATCCGCGAATACTTGAAGCGTATAAAATGCTGTAAACCTTGAAGCTGGTCGATCGACCTCCAAGCGTAAAATTGCAATTGCATTTACGTAAACTCGGAAATGTTTGTCGACTTCCGTAACGTCGCTGGATTTTATCGGGCCATATTACGCCATTTACGATAATATTTCGCGTAAATAGTATATAAGCCAATTATTACGGGCGTGTTGCAAAAACTATGGGCGGTACCATAAATTTTTATTTTTATACGATGTCATTTAATTTTACTATGTGTTAGGCGCGGCGCACTAGATTAAACACATTACGTTTTTTATATTTACGAATTCTTTTACATTCTTATTTGCAGCAATATTTTCCTCATTTTCTATTCTTCCTCTCATATAAATTTTATAAGAACTATATTACCATATCGACAATTATCGTATCGTATAAATATCTTGTATTGAATGGAATTTTATTTCCAGAATATTTAATATATTTTGCTTTATTTATTCGAGAAAAGAGATACAGTTTATTTTATTTAAAACAGAACTGCTTTAATGCTATCATTCTTTAATAAAATTCTTGACGTCAGAGCTACTAGTTACCGTGCTCAATGTAAATTTTAATACTATATCGAGCTTATTATTGTATAAAGTTTACAAAGAGTTGTATAATTTCGATTTGGTGGCAAGTGGCAATTTGTGGAAGTCAAGACGGTATCAAGTTACCGTTATCTTCAGTAAATAAACTTAAGTTGTATAAGAGAAGTACGATAAATATCGCAATGCCGCGCGTTTCGTGAAATATAAACGCCCCAAACACGATGTTGCACTCAACCTATGCCAGAGGAAACACGAATACTCGTATCTTAGTAGTCGTATGGATATCGTTATAAGAAATGAACGAATTGATATATATTTTAAAGTGGCGGAAGCATCCCAGATCGTTTATTCAAAAATTTAAATTGAAATTCGCAATCCATCTTGGGAGATGAATAATTCATATTACGAGAGTCGAGCAAGATTAACAAGAGAATATTTTTTTAAACGCGAGATTTAAGGAAGAGATTTGAATCGAATATATTGAAGAAGCTAAGAATCGTTCGGATAGAAAAGCGAACGGTTGCTGTTGCTGTAGTTTTAATCAAGAGAGAGCCGCCCTTTTTAAATCCGACGACGCACGGGGCAGAGTAATTTAAACATCACCCTGGGTGCTCTGTTTTCGCACCGCCAGTCACAGCTACGAGCAACGGCCGTGTATTTTATTTGGCTTCCGACATTTTGAAGATTATTCCCAATCCCGCAGGAACGCGGGATATTGCATTAGCAATATCGTAAAATTTCTGCGAAAAGAGCATTGATATTATATCCAGAAAAATTGAAAATTTTTGAAATATTTTACCAATACCTATAACAATCGCGATGTTCTTTCCGGTTAGAAACTGTAAAATATTTCATGCAATCGTGATTTTTGCCATGCAAGCGTTACATATAGGTACACGTGACATTTCAACATGATTCAATATTAATATTAATATAAATGCAAGTATCATATAATTATCATAAGCAAATCTATTGATTTATTTATTTTCGCTATTTAGTGCATTTATATTGCTATTCTTTTGAACTCAGAAATTATTTTTGCTCATCTAAAGATCTTTTTTTACTGCCATTTGCATTTACTTCCTTCAAAATGACATACATTTCAGTTTTTCTGTCTAAAATTTTATCTAAAAAAGTATATCCGGAAGCTTAATTTCCGCTTTCTTTATTTTCTTTTCCTTACTTTTCTTTTTGCGCGTTGCTGCAGCCAACGCGACAGTTGTGGAGATGTCAAGCATATACTTTATGTAAAACTGAAATTAACGCGAGGTCTATATATTCTCGTAATAATTGCTGCCGGGTAGTTCGTTATGCTATAGCGAATATGTTAACTGAGCCTACTGAAATGGCCTAAACTTTGTCACGTAAAGGTCACGAATGACACGACAATATTTTACATTGATTTTACGAGGATGTGATATGCGATTAATTATTATCGATTATTAATTCGGTTCGCAGGGTTTTGGCAAAGCTGATCATCAAATATCGGTCGAGTTATTGAAGAAAAAGTATCCTACCTACAACATCACGTGGTCAGACGACGGTTACTAACTAGGAAATACATGTGGCGCGATATGTTACTTTATTTTTTAACTTAATAAATGTATATGGGATTGAATCTTGTTTTGTACATTATTAATAAAATGTATGTGCGTATTGGAATGAAATTAAATGTGTGTCTTAATTATTAAACATCGTAATTATCTCACTGTTTTGTGGAAAAAATATAAAAATGTATAAAAATGTAAGTAAATAAATAAATTAAAATTAAAGAAAGCTATTTACTTGTATTATTCTCTATTATTAATCTCTAAAGATTCTTCTGCCTATTTTATAGCATACTACATTCTATAAAATTATAAGTAAGTTAAATAGTTAGATTAAAGAAATATATTCATTCACATTTTTCCTTCTCTAAAATTTCTTCTACCTGATTTATGGAATACTATTTTGTATGAAAATTTGAGCAAATTAAGTAATTAAAATTAAAGAAAGCTATTCATTTACATCCTTTCCTGAAATTTATTCATTTCTCTTCGTGAAAATGCTCCACTCTACGAAGTCTTTGTTAATAACTTACAATTAGTATATGTATATATTTGGTTTTATATATCTATATGCTATATTTCTCTTTTCCTCTCTTGAATCAAAATACGAATGCGTCTTCATTCATCTGAAAGAGTATACATCTAAAGAGTATCTTATTATTTATTAATTATTTATTAATCAATAATTTCCTATTTCCTACTGAGAATGATAAGAAGGTAAGTTGCATTTTAGGTCGTAGTTAGAGATGAAATAATTTGATGATATATTGCGATATATCATTCTACGATATATAAGTGAGCTACCTTATGCACAGTTGTCGGTATTTCAGTGGACTAGTAGAGCAGTAACCGGTAACAGAAACAGGTTTTGATGGCCTCCAGGGATTACCGCTGATTTGATCAATTTTCTGCTTTCTTGCTGCAATACTAGATGACTGCATCATGCAGTGTAGAATACGAATGCAACATTAATTACGTGGATCTTATTAATAATCCGCATATTACATACAAAAAATTGAAAAAATATATCTATATATTAAAATTTCTGTTTGTATCATGTTTAAAATATGGTTATTTAATTAAATTTTACATAAATCTAATTAAACTTAATTTATACCTAATATCTATTCTAATTTTTATTGATGAAGACTTTGTTATAAATCAATTTAATTTAATTTAATATTCTAAAGTCGAAATGAAAATTTCAATCTTGAAAAAGATATTTCTACATTATTGCAATTTTGATTAAAATATTACTTTGTTAATTTAAGTTGATTCAAGTATTTTTTTAGTTATTTATTCATACATATATTCGCATAAAACATTTCGAATGTAAAATCGCGTGACATCTTAATTTTTGCCATATGTATTCGAACAATTGAAATTGAAAGAGTCGATGCTTATTTTGTAACAAACGCCGTGTGTTCAATCATTTTAGACATGTCGGACGTCCGAGGAAGACGTTAAAAAATTTTTAAGTTAGTTTGGTATACTTTACCATGTTTTCCCGAGCCGCAAAATCAGTCGTGAAGTCCCTTGGGTCATGCCGGATTCATATTGGTAAAAAAAGTTTCAAGGTATGATTTAATTGACTTCCAACATATCGAAAGATTTTCATTTGGTAATTTCATCTTGTACGCTTCTACTCGGTCCATTACACATTTTCATACATTATGTCGTCTCATGTTCTTCTTATTAATATGTCGATGTATTAATTAAAAATGACCACCTAGATTGCTCTGATTGGTGGCGCCGGAGAAATCAGTCAAACTCTATCCCAGTTATTAAAAAATAGCGCGAAACTGAATGCCCTTGCGTTATATGATGTTGCAGCTGTCAATAGACCTTTACCGAATTACAATTTCCATGCTGAGCCATTTAAACCTATCGTAAGTCACTCATTATTGACAATTTGGTTAAAAAATTTAGTATAATATTTAAATTGACGTAAGTTATTATCATAAATAAATATCAATAAAATAGCCATCAGAAACGCTAACAATGGCGAAGAAATCCTGTTCGGGCGAAGGCAGTCGTTCAAATGCAGTGATTAGGGCGAGGCAAATAGACAATAATAATCATCAAGAAAATAACGGAAGGGTAAAATATAAACTTATTTATTATTGATTTCCATTTGAATATATCAGAGAGTATCAAAGTCTGTTAATTATATTCTATTAATCGTAAATTTTTTATTAACTATATGTAAACATTTCGTTTTGCTAATATATTATTAAGCAATAAATTAGATTTTATGAAATTATTGAAGTATTTTTTATAATTTTGAATATGAGCTAACGAATTTGTCGTCCTTTTTTAGAATTATTTTTATTTAGATATCCTTATTACTTTTATTATTTAGAATTATGATTATCTTTCGTTTGAAATATATAATTAAGTTTGAATCTCTCTTAAGTAAAATTGTTGCGTATTTAAATGCAAAATAGAATAATATATTAAATCTAAAAAAAATTGTATAATAAACCAATCGTTTTTTACGTAGAGTCAGATAGAGAAACTTGTGGAAGCTCTTTATCGTTTACCAATAGCTGAAGGAGCTGCAACATTTAATAACCCATTGATACCCATCGAGGAAATAATGCCAAAGGTAAGGGAAAAATAAATTTTTTGTAATACTTATGGCTTAAAATTTATTATTAAGAAATTATTTCAATTCCGTGTGTTTCGCACTATAATTGTCATTAAAGATAAAATTATACACTTCTTTATACACAAAATTACTTGAGAGAATTATCCACTTTAAGGAGTAGAATTAAAATAGAACTTAGGGTTATTTCTACATAAACATTACATTAATCATAACTATGTGATAAGTTCCCAGGTAGCAGGATGATACCTAAACACATCTTAGGCTGCGGTCCATTTGATGTTACAAGTGCTTCGAAGCGTTCTTTTTCTTTTTCTTTCTTCATTGAAAGAAAGGAGAAGAAGAATGCTTCGAAGCATTTGTAGCATCAAATGGACCGCAGCCTTAATGACATATTGTTGACTTTAAAAACGTCATTAAGATGTTATTATTATGCCATTTGACGTCTGCTACCTGAGTTGTCGTAGAGACAAATTTATAATATATTGAATACATAATTGCACATATGCTCAATACAAGCAGCTTCATAAAAATTTATTTAGAAAAAAAAACAAATATCTTTTTTGTGGAATAATTTATCAAAATAAAATAAAATTATTTTTTAAAACGTGCAAATATAAGATAAAAATTATTAAATTGGAAGAGAAGCTAGATCAGTGTTTGTCGTGCTATTTAGAATTATTTATTACATCTTTAAATCCCGGATTCAATTATTAACTAAAAGTTCATATTATTATTAAGCTTAGATTAAACATTAAGTTATGTTTGTGAAAATAATAAACCCTTTAGAGAACTATAGATTCTCTCTCTCTCTCTCTAATCTTTTATCTCTATCTCTATTTAATTTACCTACCTGTAGATAGTAGAGAGACTGGTTTTCATATTTAATATTTTGATATCTTGATTTTGAAGAATATATTTTGTTGTCTCGAGAGATTTCAAAGCATATATTTTAATAATTATCATAACATGAATCTGTCACTCTATTGGCGTAGAACAATAAAAATTGTTGAATCCACACGTTTGTGTTCGTGAGATCTACGGCCGGTATCAATTTCCTATTTTCAGAACATTTCTATATGTTATTGAAGAAAATATAGTTTTATATGTATTTGTCATCTCAAATGCTTGCAAAACATTTTATCCCACATAGCATGCATATCAAAAAGACGTTCAGAAGATATCCCGAAGATATCCTATCTCCTAAATATATCTTCGGGATATCTTCTGGACGTCTTTTTGATATGCATGCTATGTGGGATTTAACAAGATTTTTTGGGCATTTGCAATTGTTTAAATTATTGCTTAAATGAAATGAACAACCGTGATACGTACCGCAGATATTAAAATAATTGTAAAGTTCCGAAATCTGGCGTTAGAAGCTTGAAGAAGCATACACTGAAGATATATGAGGCGACACTCAGATTTTATATTTACAAAAACGAAATATAAACTGGGATATAAAATTAGCTAAACTACGAATAAAAAGTTAATCAATGCTGAAGACCAGCGGCAATATATAAATCTGAAAGAGCCTAGAGGAGAACTGATCTTGAAATCGTCTCTCCGTCTGTCCTCAGGCGGGCAATGCGTGCGGCAGGATGCGTCCTCGCGCCAGAGTCTTGGGTGAGAAGGATTCCAGCAACGTAAAAACCTGGCAAAGAGGTTACGCCACCGTCGCAATTCGCAAGTGCTTCTCCGACTTGATGTATCCGTCGTTTCAGGAGCACTACCTAAACGGCATTCCAAAAGTGAAAATCTCGAAGAAGCATCGATCGATTAAGACAGCGAGAAAAATCACATATTCATCCTGCGGTGCGCTCATTGCGAAAGAAAATAATCTTCAATTGTTATCGATGTCTTTGTTAAATCATGGTGAAAAGCCGGCGAGAAGATTGATGAAGAAATTTAGAAATGCCGGCGTACCTTCAAATATAGAAGCACGTTGCAGAGCAGTAGAGAAATTGACCGATTGGATGATACCGGAAGCGCTATCGAACAATAAACTGAGATTGTTACGCAAGATCTACAGTTGTATTAAATTTCCTTCGTCTTCATTAAATTTCATAAATCATAAGCGTGAAAATAATCGCGAAGCAATTTCATTCAATCGCGACAGCGGAACAATGACGGACGATACGTTAAGTGTCGTTGAACAGGAAAATTGGATTAAGCGAACATGTTCCAAAATCAAATCCATACTCCCAGACCTGCACGCCAAAATCCGATTACATTCGACAATCGCATCGGATTCGTATTGTTCGGAAAATATTTTTGCGGTGAACCAAGTGATTCCGTTCTCCGACATAATTTCCAACAGCGTCATTCTCTCTGCATCGAAAGATTGCGAAGATGATAGACCGAAGGACAGCATTCGGAAAAAGATACAGGAATTTTGCATGCAGCGGAAAAAATCTCTAAGAAAGAACAGAGACGAGAATGATATTTGTAAGAAAAGAGAGAGATGTAAAACGACGAAAGGGAAATATCAGGAAAGAGAAAAGATATGTGAGAAAAGAAAGAGGATTGATTGCTCCGAGAAAAGAAAACAAGCACCCAAGAGACAAGACGTAGATATTTGCAAAGGAAGAAAGAGTTCTTGCGATAAAAAGAGTGTCCGCGATTGCCGTAAAACTCGCGAGCGAAAGGTGGAGGTCCAAGAAGATCCGTGTAAACGGAAAAAAGATGATATTTCTAGAACAGGAGAAGATCCTGGCCGTGGACAACGTCCCGTGAAGCAAGAACAAACTTTTTATAAACTGCATGACCCAGATCCATGTAGGGCAGACAAGAAAGAAGCGATCAAGAAGAAAGACGAAATTAAGAAAGAAGAAATAAAGAGGAAAGAAGAAATTAAGAAGCCTGATTGTTCAGAGACTAAGAAAGTTGAACCATGTGAGAAAAAAAAGTGTCCACCTGTAAAAAAGGTGCCAGAGTGTTCTGAAGGCGACGCAAAAAGAAAAGGCTCTTGAAAATATTCCACCTATGCAGTGTTTACGTGAGAATGTTTCTTGAAACAATTTCTTTTTATGTAAGGAAATCATCATAGCAGATTAAAAATTTTTTTCAGCAAATATTATCAAAATATTAAACACAAAAGTCCATGTTAATTTCAAAGTGAATTATTTGTGAAAGAAATCTTATTTATCTCTCGGATTTGTTGATGTATTTAAATTACGATGTGATTAATAAACAGAAAAAATATTGTTTCTATAGTATGTCTGTGAAATATATAATATGTTCTGTTGTAAATCCTGTGAATAATAAAAATATTATTTTACACAGTACAAATGTATATTTTTTAATTATACCTTTTTAATTATGGAGATGACTTTATGTGTAAATACTTTAATTAAACAATTATATGACATCACATAATTTTTCATTACAGCTACAACCAAAAGAAGAAAATTTGACTGTCAGACTTCAAGATTCTGGAATAGACAAAGTAAGGTTTCAAAATACTTATTGTTTTATTTTTCTGAACGAATTTATTTATTTGTTTTCTTCGCACTATTATTTGATAAATAAATTATAAAATTATATCGATATCTTGCATAATTTCAGTATATTATTTATATTATTTTTGATAAAATTACACGCGATTAAGTTAAAGAAATTAAAAATATCGAAAAATCGCAAAAATGATCTAAATAAATGATCGCTGTGGCTCCACCTCCCTTCTGCCTCTTTTCTTTGAATTGGCTACTTTTAAGCTGTTCAAAATCTTACAATACATATACGTGAAAAAGGAAATCTTATTCAAATATAAATAATGAATTATTATAAATTCTATTTCTGATCGTTTTGGTCGTCCTCTCTCTGCAGAGAAGAGAGAGATCAAGTTCACCGATGAAATCTACAGTAGAAATAGCCGAAAGTGGAAAACCGATTGAATCCAATCAGATCCAAACCAACAAAGGTTCCTTATCGGTCACCAATTCACGTCAACAGTTTATGGGAATCAATTCTGTCAATAATCTCCATCAAGATTCTAATTTGGCAATTGATCACAAGGATCGTTCCGATTTTTTTTTTCTGCACAAGCATTTTGTCTCTAATCTTCGCCACTGTAGCGATCGTGAGTTTGACGAATCAAAGTTGTCGCACGACAGACAGGGCAATGACGATTACTTCCCTCAAGGTGAAGAATACGAAGAGGAGATCGGTACAGAAGACTATCAACTGGGCAAAAAAACCCCTAGCAAAAAACCATCGCGTCTCGAGGACGAGCACGAAAAGTTCGAACCGACAATGTTGATGTTTGAAAATAATAAATACATCAACGGAGGTCCATTAACGAGATACATTACGCATGTGTATTTTTCAAGCATTGAAGAACTGACGGATGCTGATCGAACAATGCTGATGTCAAAGAAAGTTTCCAACAAGGACGCCGTCGAAAAATTGCAAACTCTGATCGAGAAAGTATCGGAGTTCAAACGCCGAGTTTTCCAATCCAAACACGATGCACCAAAGACTGAAGCTACGACGGACGGAAAGAAGGAAAGAAAGATCGCCAACGAAAACGAGAACAATGAGTCAACGAATCGATTCTGTTTTATAACTCAGAAGATCTATAAGTCGGCGTATTAAGCTAGATTATAGCTCTGTCTAATTATATTTGTGAATTTTATCCGCATTGAGTCATTGTTTTCCTTACTCCTGTAAAAGAATACAAGCGCTTTGCTTTTGTTTTGATAAACTCTTGAAAGGAGGGAGGTGGGCCAAGAGCGCTGATTGGGACTACCGCGTGATTATCGACGAAGCGCAGCAAAATTCTCCACGATTTAATACGTAAAAACCAGCAGGCAGTTAGTGGCAGAGTATTGCGGCTAGGTGAGCCGGACTGTGGCGAGGACTCACCTGGTCAACCGAAAAGGAATCCGTGCGATCCACCCAAGGGCCCCTGTCAGCCCGCCGAACCACCGGGCTATCCCTCCAAGCCAAAGCCCAAAAGAAAGCCATTCTGCGTAAAATGCCCACCCAAGAAACCGTGCAAGGAAGAGAAATGCTGAATTGCGTCGGTAAGAGACAGAAGGTACGTGGAGGTATCAGCGGTTATGGTAAATGTTGTCTGATGGAAATGGAGAACTACTGTTATTTCTAGAAAAAATATAAATATATGTTTATCTCTCTTCATCTCTCTTCTTTCTCAAATCCCGCAGACTGTTAAGAAGTTCGAACATATGGAAGCTTTCCTAAACAGTTTACTGAGAGCTCCTGTGGGAATAGCGGAGGAGTGTCCTATTTCGAGAACTGGATATAATTTGGGACCTACCTTTGGAACAGGAAGATTAGGGCTTAATCGATGGAACTGTAAACTCTATTCGATAAATATGCTCAACTCAGGATTGATTTGTACAAGAGACTTTAGTTTTTTCAAGAACGAGCCTAAAAACATCCTTTTAAAGCATAAAGCATTCGGTTGGACTCACGAACAATCAAGAAAACAATTAAAGCGTTCATTCATGACGAAATGTAAACTGCCACTTTCAAATAAACCAGCAATGTCAGTCTGCTATTCGGCGGCGTCATCTTCGCCTTCCCGTCTATCATTCTTGAAATCGTATTCATTGATTGAAAAATATTTTCTACCGCCGCTACCTGGTCATCACGAGTCATCAGTCAGTTTGCTACGTTCCGCTTTATGTCCAAAGCCCATTGAGAAGTCATCATCTTCGAAGAAATGTTATGAGAAGGGTTCACAATTTCTGAAACATTCCGAAAGCTTAAAATCATTAGCACCGTCTTCTAAATACTTAAAGCGTCTGAAATATCTATTACAATATCTATTACAGAAACTTCCATCTCCAGAACCTTGTAAACAATATCCTTCATCATGTTCTACGTTTTACTCATCTTGCCCACATTTACTTTCGCAAGATGTTTCCAGAAACATCCAGGAAGCAGCCAAGAGACTTTCAAATTCACAAAGGAACAAAACGCATAAGACGTCCGTTTATCGCGGTCCCTGTTATCCGATTTCCCTACATAGGGTTTACTGGCGAGGATTTCACAGTTCTTTGTTCCCATTTGCTAAATCAGATTCTAACAAGCCTTCCACTTGCAAGGAAATAGAAGAAATCTGCAAACCGACCGAGGTGAAGAAGACTGATGAGAGTGGCCGACGTTGCAAGGAAAAGAGCGACGTTTATCGCCAAGAGAAGGTCAAGTGTGATAAGTCGCAGGTGCGAAACAAGGAGAAAGCGAGACAAAAACCGAAGCTGGAGAAGAAGGTCGTGGATCCTGCATGTAGGAAGACTTGTCTGCCAATAGGCAAGTGCGAGCTGCCCCGAACTGTTCCACCACCGAAGATGGAGTACGCGGAGGTGACGTGCCCCCCGCCGAAGTTCGCGAAGCCTAAACCGTGTCCACTGATGCCGGAACACTTCCAGAAGGATGATAAATCTCACATAGAGATTAAACAGATCAACGTGCGAAAGAAGCAAATTTGTGCTCCGCCTCCATTGCCGAAGCCACCGTATGCACCTGTCGTACTTTGTCCCTGTCCACCACCGTGCAAAGTACATCCTGGACCGTGCCCGTTCTACGAGACGAAGAAGATCGCTAAGCGACAGCCCTCGATACAGCCGTGTAAGTTGAAGAAGAAATATCCCTGTCCCACTGGCGTGCACTACTGTCCTCCGTATAAAAAGCCGTGCAATTTAAAACGGGAGACTGGCTGCGACCGTAGGATGAAAAAGGAAGCATTGGAATCTTGAAGCATCCCGCGAGTAATGTACAGCACAATATTTGCTCAGTATTTTCTGGAAACATAGCTAAAAATGAGAAATTTTCAACAAAAAGCGGATTTACATTAAACAAGTTTAAAATGCCAAATAATTTCTTCAATCAAAATTAAACGTTCATTTAGATTGTAATTGTTTCATATACGAAATATTGACTATGTATGTAAATTGCTTTTTGTCAAAAATTTCGACATTTTCACGAAATAATGAACGACGTTGTTCAACGATATATGGACATTGTGCAAATTTTTATTTTTATCAAGTGATGAATGTATGGAGAATCACGGCATGATAGTAAAGAACAGGTTTTATATAGAAGAATCGTAAAATCGAGACTAAATGTGCGCAGCAGCGATCTGCGAGATCTATGAAATTAGAGATTCGGTCTCCTGGATCGATATATAATTGTTAACAATTTAAGGCCGACTCGTTCATCTTCCGTCAGCTCTGCGATTGATAGTGTATCCATTTATCCGTTCAATGATTTCGTTTCATCTATCCATAATTTTTTCTTTCCAAGGAAGCACCACTGATCGCGAGAGAGTTTAGTGCAAGGTGAACAAACCGGCTGCCGATGCATGTTGCTTGTCGCGTGACTAACACGGATTATCTATTCTAAAATTATATACTGATAATACGTATGCGTGTTTCAGCGCGACATGGAAAGTTACATTCGCTATAAATATTAGCTACAATTCAATAAATCTGTGTAATGTTTGTCGAAATGCATTAACTTTAGAAGTACAAACACATTATATAGTATATCAGTAACGTCACACATTATAAATAAATTTGTCATGAAACAATTCGGACATGCATTACCCAGGTAGCAGAATAACGTCACACATGACATATTAATAACGTATTAATGAAGCCTGTAACGTCAATAATACGTCATAGATGTCGTTAAAACATCTTTAGACGTCGTCCTGCTACCTGCGGATTATATATAAAAATTTAATTTACATCATATTTTTGCGCATTATGTTGTATTAACGCAAAAATATTTGGTTAATTTATTCCCTTTAGCTAAGAGTTAAAAAATTTTTTTTCGTAACTTTGGATAGACTTTGTTGGTCATACGGCATCCGACATGCATTTTATTAATTTTTTTTAAAAAAAGTTCAAGTCCTAAATTTGAATAGATCTCGCAGTAAATTATATGCGCTGAAACATCTTAATGAAAAGCGGATGAATATAGTCGACTAATCGATACAAATAAATTTCCCATTAATAAATTTATGAAATTCAAGCTCGGGAATTAGATCTGTATTTTTTTTTTGAATATTTAATATTTTTTCTAATATAAAACATGACGACAAATTCTTATGAGGAATTAAGAAAAATAATTACCAAGGAAATTGAAATAAATTTGTACGGAGAAATATTTTTAGTTTATATATTATAATGTCGTATATAAAAATATACGTTTATCAATCGATTATGTATTCTCACATGCACTTGTAAATAAAATCTTGTCTATTAATATTATTTGACGTCGATCTTTTTTTGAGCGTAAGAATGTAACTTGAGAACAGTTGTTTGTCAGAAACTTGCGTAAGAGACGGTATAGATTTTGACGTAAGCTTCATTTCGCGAGTTCCACGACCATCTCTGCTCAACGACAGGTCATATCCATCGCTGCGTCCTAATGCGGGATGAAAGTGGCGGAGGCGCGGGCGGGGAGGAGGGCGAACAGCGGATTGTTGTGAATAGAGAAAATCGATTTCCACCGTTCGGTGATCGGTTCCAATGTTTGATTCGATCCCGTGCCTACCGTCTGTATACGCGATAATAATTGCGACCGTACGTGCGACGCGACGCCGCCGCCTCCGCCGATTTCGACGTACATCACAGTGCGAGTGTGTGCGTAAGGGCGAGCGCACGATACGAAATCGGCATCAAAAGCGTCTCGTTACAATAATATCGACATTTATATACGAGGGGGTTTTGGCCGGGAGGAAGTTTGGCCGGGCGGCGGAAAGACGAAGGTCCTTATCATTTTATTATTGGGGCGGGTGGGCAACCCTCGCCCTTCTCGGAACGACGCTTTACTTTTACCTCCCATTGTCTGTCGAGTCGAGCCTCGACGCCCTCTTAAAGGCTTAAGCGCCGTTTCCAAGCGTCCAATAGGATAATCTAGCCTCTCCACCACGCTTCCTGTTTATTAAAATGGAAGCGGCGTCGTTCGGCGCCGTCGTTCGGCGTTCACGCCGTTGTGCCACGTGTACCCTTAATTTTGTTAAGATTTGCAGTTTCACACACACATACACAGAAATATTATACAAATCTTTCTCTATATATTATACACATATGTATAATGTATACAAGAAAATTATATAAATAGCATCTTTCGTTCTCGATATTTATTGTAAAAGTATTTGCTGAATTAATACAAGAGTTCCCACAAATCGAAAAAATATTTTAGTGGCTTATCGTTTGATTGCCATAAGAAAGATTTTTTTATTAAAGGCAATATAGATTTCAATAAAAACGCGCGCATTCAATGTATATATTTCGTTATACGGTATTATATCAATTGCCGGAAATCTCTAAGAGAGCGGTCTCGGCCAAAATCGCTTTCGATGAGAGAGTTATCTCGCGCTCGCGGAAACTTCTCCCACGGTGTTCTCCTCGCGCCAGGTTTCACCGGTGCAAGATATCGCGAGCATTATCACGGGCGTTCACCGTGATTGGTCGGATTCGAGGGTATCGTCTCTTTTTCCACCCTCTCGCTCGACCAATAAGTGACGTTTCCAGTCGAGAAAGGGTGCGGAGGGTAGGGGAGGCCCGAAAGGGGGTGGCAATTCGGCGAGAGAGACGAGACGTGCAATGTTCCGAGGGGGTTGCAAAGGAGGAAGAGGAGGAGGAGGCGGCGGAGGAGGAGGAGGAGGTGAAGCGAGAGGGGAAGAAGAGAGGAAGAGGAAGAGGAGGAGGAAGTGGTGGAGGACGAGGAGACGGGAAGGGGAGAAAACTCTCCGCGTGGAAGAGAGCCGAGCGGGTCGGGCTTCTCGGTGGAAACAAGCGGGATGGATAAACTTCGGAGCGACTGTCCCCGAGGCTGATGCATAATTCAGGAATCGTCACCGGCGAGGATATTGCCAATTTGGCGTCGATGAAAATACGATCGGATTTGTGTCGGCTACCGCCCAGAATGGGGCTCGCTCGCCAGGATACACATCCAGTGAATTTAACACCTTCGCCCGACCGACCGACCGCCCACCCTGCCGTGCGTAATTGCATCGCGACCAATCCCCGCGGCTCGT